CCTTCATATGTTAAGAGGCAATGCAGCCTTATTTGTTCTTGTGGCAGTTCATTATGATCCATAATTAGTGTTCAGCTCAAGACAGCTGGTGTTGGTCGGTGAAAATAAATTTATAGAAATGAAGACTATCCTGTGCTGACTTTCTATCCTTATGGGCATGTTTATACTTGAATGCTTCAGATACAGTTGATCGAAAGTAAACCTGAGTGGACACTGAGGTTTGTTTGTTCAGTATTTGTCATGTCATTATCATCTGACATAGCACATCTGGCCATTCTGTATTATCCCAGTGCACAAAAAAATTCAGCTTTGCAGTGATACATTGTTATTACAAATAAAACACTATAAGATTCTGTATTTTAAAATCATATGACACTAATGATTTCTTTATAGTTTCTCTTCAGTGTTTTAGCCACTAATAAGTTGCCCATTTGAGATTAATACCAATTAAGTTATCATATCAATCTTACTGAAATCCAAATGGGAACAGCAGCAAAATAATACCATGTTATTTATGATCAACTAGAATTTAATACTTTTGTAGGCCAATACAGATGCTTTCGGTTTTATTAACATTTTCACATTCTCAGTTGCTTAAAATGGATCTGAAGAAAATGATCTCTCTATGAATTACAATTTTTCAGGCTTTGGATAACACACATGACCAATATAAGAAACATAGTTAAGACTAATTGAGTATCTCCTTTTGGCCAACATTTTCTATATAAATTGGTTATATTTCATTAAACCACCCACTCGTAACTAAAGAAGATTTTTATCTTTAGCATTCACAAAACCAAAATGGGACATTCTGAACTGGGAGGGTGAAATAAGTTTTCCTCACATTATAGCCATTTCTAAAGATAGCATTTTCCAAATTCATGCTACTTTTGCTGTTTCGCAGGAGCCTTTTTGAGATCAGGCTTGTATTTTGTCTCTTGCAGTGTGAGCCCTGTGTCGATGGTGACATTTGGAAGCCTTGTAAGGAGCAGTGCTTGTTGAAACCTAGTTTCACAATGAGTGTGACCTTTCAACAGCCTTTGCAGATGTATTTTTTTTTTCATGATAACGGCTTCCTGAAAAGCCTTTTATCTAGAAAGCTTCCTTGAGATCCTGGAAGCTGAAATAGGGAATGATTTTAGACCCTTAGTCACCTCAGCATTTTCATCTTCACAGTGAATTAGGAACACAGACTTTTTAATGTGCTAGTACAGTTTTGCTCTCTAGCAAAAACTTCGTTTTCACCTAAGTTTTGCTTATCACACTTGTGGACAGGTCAGTCAGAGAATTGCCCCTGCTGTAGCACAATTCAGGTTTCTGGGACAACAGTAGCTCTTCAAGTCTAATTTAAAGGACTTGGAGTCTTTTAATTTAAGTGTCATATATTTCTCTTCCGTCTTGTCAGACTTAGATGCATGTGGTAGGATAAGTCTCTGGAAAGCCCATTTCCCAGTTGTGTGATGCGTGATGAAGCAGGAAAACCACAGCAACCAGTTTAGCCTCACTTATTTCTTTCTCCATTTATAAAATGAAGGTACTCATTATTAATAATTCATCACTAACTGCAATATCCTACATGAATATTCATTTTAACTTGTTCATTAACTGAAGGCATGTGCACTTTGTCTACCTGCTGCAAAATACACCGACCGCATTGTGAAGTCCTGTTCACTGTTACAAAACATCATTCAACGTTGTCTGTTTCGGAGGAGGAGCACAGCCAGTGTCAATAAGGGTACGTTTTCTTTAATCAATATGTTGTTTTTCTTTCCGTAGGTATTTTCTCAGTGCTCAGCTTGGCATCTGAATGTACCACTCTTGCCGCTGAACTTCCCAAAGTGTCTTACGTGAAGGCCTTAGATGTCTGGCTGATTGTTTGCCTTCTCTTTGGGTTTGCATCTCTGGTGGAGTACGCGGTGGTTCAGGTAATGCTGAACAATCCAAAGAGAATTGAAGCCGAAAAAGCAAAGATCGCCAAGGCAGAGCAAGCGGAAGGGAAGGGTGGAAATGCTGCCAAGAAGAACACTGTGAATGGCACAGGGACTCCTGTCCACATCAGCACTTTACAGGTAGGAGCTGCGAAGCTGTGTACGCAAAATCAGCATTATCCTCTGTTAACTCAGTTCTGGGAATATACTATCCTAATAGTTTCAGAGAGTGCTTAATCTTAGAAGTGGCCAAGACATTAAAAACATACTGGTAATTAATGGCTAGCAATCTGACCAATCGGTCCCTAGTGATTTGGGGTGAGAGGTACTAAATGAAAAACTTGTCTTTTAATATCCTAGCACCATGGTTGCTGCTGAGCTTCAGGTAAATAAAGTAGCCAGCAGCTTTACAGTTGCTATTTTTCTCATAATAAATAGCAGCTGTCAAGCTGTAACTATTCAGAGGACAGGACTCTCAGTCAGTATTTGCTGAGAGCGTACTCAAATAACACCCGTCTCATTGCTTTCCCCGGGATGGCCACAGCTGCACCGCATTGCATGTCAAGCATCTCTGAATCTGGGGATCCAGAAGTCTTGGCACTTGTAAACAACAGACAGGTCTGTTTGTCTGTCAAACAGTTCCTGCATTTCTCGTGTTGCCAGATAGACTTTATGGGTCGGATCTCATTATATGGATAAAGATGAGATGATAAGATGTATGTCTTAGCTTAGGCCAGAGTTTTCCATTGTAATGGTAGCTTCCTGGTGTTGTGTAACTCCCTCTTTGCTCTTCAAGAGTTATCAGATATCCCAGGCCAACTTCCCTCAATCCTGAGTGATATTTAAATGACATTTAGTTTACAAAAGAAAATATGTTATGCTACAACATATGAAATACAAATTTGGCTTATAGTTTCCAATGACTAGGCAATTTAGATGTGTAAAATAAAGCTCTTAGGCCAAGTGATAGTATGGGTAGCATACAATGTGACTGTAAAGCTTCTTTAAGGAGGGGCTAGTTTATGCCAGAATGGCAGAAACCCTGTCCTAGTGTCAAGCTGGCATTGCCCCATAACTAATTACCCCCAGTCCAGAGGAGCTGCAGATATTGCAGAGCGGTGCACTTGACTACCATTATTCTCATCTGGTAGAAGAGTCTCCTGGGAACTGTTTTGGCAGGCAACCAGGCTCAGCTTAGAGCAACCCCATGTCTGCTTGTGACTTGAGTCCAAGTAATTCCCCAAGCCCAGGCAACGTGGGAACTGAGTAGAAAGAAAGACGGCTCCACTACAGTTTTGCTTCCCCTGAACTGAATGTGGTATTTTTGTGTTCAGCAATTTGCAGGTCCCAAATTCAGCTGTTTCTTGTGACAGAATAGTTACAACAGTCCAGCAGAGCAGCATACAATCTTTTTATTCCTATTTCAAGTAACTTAACAAGTGTAAGTGCACAGCTTGATCAATGACAAGATTAATAAAAAACTACAGTTTTTCAGTAATGTGAAAACCAAATTACTAAATTACTGACTCTTCTCGTGTGTACACCCTTTAAGGTGCTTGCCATTGTCATAGCCATAAGATGAATAAAATGGTAACTTTTTTCACTTTTTTTTTGCTTTTTAGGTGAAAAACTTGAATAGTTTTTCAAGAAAGCAAGTTTGAGTGTACAGTGCACTTTAAGACTTAGAGGAAAGAGAGTCATTGTCCACAAAAATTAAGCAGCATTCCCTGTGAATGGTGTCTAGCAGTAGGCCAAAGGTTTTTAGGATTCAGACCTCAGTCTGCCCTCCAGGATCTTGCAGTGCCTCTCCTCCACGATCTTGCAATGTCAGCTCCAGCATCTCATGTTTGTCTTGCACTTTTCAGGGTCTTCCCAATTTGTTATCAGAGATCTTTAACATTCCAATATCTATAATCTCTGCAACAATAATCTGTGTTGGATACAGATGGAGTCCTGGGCAGATGTAGCTTGTGATGATCTTTTATACAGAGTTACAAAATATTGGTTTACCAAGGAAATACATATTCATTGCTGTAAAAGCTGATCCTGTGGCTCAATGATCACCTCCCTCATGGCTAGTGATCCAGCTTGTATCCAGCCACCTACTTTGAAATATAGCCTGCCTGAGGCTGGTCCTGGGCCGGTAATTTCTGGGAAGATCACCAGGCTTCTCAGCCTGGTCCCAGACTGATGAATCATTTGACATCAGGATGTGGTAGGACATTGATGTTAGATTCTGTGTATTTGAATGCTATAAATCTGCCTAGCTGAAACTCTCTCTCTGAACCAGCTACTGCGTAGGAGTACTTTGAAAGTTCTTGGCCCTGGAGGAGCCTGTACTAAACTCCTAAATCAAAACAGGTCTAAGTCTTTCGGTAGCTCTGGCTCCTAATCCAAAACTAGGGCTGCCCCACAAAATTTGGATTGCTCCCATACAGACCTAGTAATGATCTAGTAGAAAATGCATTTGTCATATGGCAAATATGTGCGAGAGGGAAACATTAAAGAAACAGGTAATGGAAAAAAAATGTATGTTGAAAGGCATAAAGAATATGAAACTAAAAGAGGGCAAAGTGCTGTCCCAGAACTTCAGGATCTGTTTCTCATCAGGGTCATGTAGCATTGTGAGTGAGGAGAGAGCAAATACTGTGCTAAATGTCTGGAAAGACATAGGCAAACTGATGTCTAGTTTTAGGAGAGAAAGACTGGGGACTGCATCCCTGATGTGAGTGTGTATACTATAGAAATGTTCAAGGATGTTATTTTTCCATGTAGGGGGTGATACTAAGTCAAAAGTGACTGAGGGCATGGCTGGAAATCTCACTATAGCTAGGCTTGAAGCAGTGGATAGACCAGATGGGGCTCAAAGGTAAAGCCAATAGGAAAGAGCTAGAAGCAGAAGACTCCAAGTGGGGGAAAAATAGAGCATGGATAATTGGATTTCTAAATGTTTCTCTAGCTAATATGAAGTACTACTTTATTATGAAACAATAACTGAATGGTGTTGATATATATCTGTAAGGGGAATCAAGTTTAAAAAGAGAAATTACTTAATTTCACTTTAAAACGCCCCTGATCCTGACACCAGGCCAGTTTGCCAGCATTCCCCTAGCAGCAAGTTGTGCTCTTGCTGCCTCTCGCAGCCATGCAGCATTGCTTCAGTGATGTCTCTGCAGGAGATTTGGGGAAGGAGCCGGTACATAAGGTGCAGCAAGATTGTTGGGGTGGGAAAGTCCCAGGTGTGGGGAGGATCAAAGGGAGCAGAGGGAAGCAAGTGAGGCGGTCAGACATCTCTGGTTCCAGCCCTCATGGAACAACTTGCTTTCATGTGCATGCTTCATTTGTGAAAGATAAAAATGACGTCTAGTCTGGAGACTTGGCATGTTTGATATTAGTGAAAAACAAGCTGTAACAAAAACACATGATGATACTTAAAAATACAAGAGGCTATTGTTCCTTTTTATGACAAGAAATTGGGTAAAGAAAGAAACTTTTCAGTATATCCTAAAAATTAAAAGCTTGATGCCATTTGTAATTGAAGTCGAGGAGAAGAAATCCCCTATAGAAGAATCTGTAAGGGTCTGCTTGGAAGTTTTCAGTGGAAAGCACTACTGTGTCAGTAAAGTCAGTGATCATGACCAACAGTCACCAGCAGCAACAGTGAAGATGGCAGGATGAAAACAATGCTCACAATCTGAGAATCAGCCAGAGATGGAGAAAGCCTTCTATGGTTGCATAGCTACTTCTCCTCCCCACCTAATCCTGCATACAAGGTGACGTAAAAGCTGTATGTTGCCAGCCAACACCAAACCCCCGAGTCCGTGCTGTATGACTCATGCCCCCTCCAACAAAAACCCTTGAAATGTCAGTGCTGTTTTAAGCCCACAGATTTATTGATATGACTGTCCGATTAAATTCAAGTGGTCCATCTAGCAAGATCAACCTGAATCTGTAGAAAAAAGAGGAAATTCAACATAAGCGCGTTGCTGTGTTTGCTAGGAGCTGCAATGGCTACGCATTTACAGGCAGGAAGCCATGAGAAAGAACAGTTTGGCTCCCTTAGCTCATAGCGACTGCAAGTTGATGCTGTTCTAAGCAGAGGAGAAAATTATGCAACCTGGTAGTAACTGCTGGCGCTGGCTTTTTATTGGGAATCCTCAGTAGGAGTTTGCGTGTGTTTCCTAGCAATGTAACATCATACACTGAGAAAAACAAGCAACGCGGGAAATGTTTTGAAGATGAATCAGTTTCTTTTTGCTTTCACTGGTGGTGTGATTACAGGGGTAGGTGGCACTGTTAACTATAACAGCATCCCTCGATTTGAAAAGTTACATTTTCATCAAGCCCATTTATAGAAGCTGTCCCCCACAGATAATGTGCTGATGACTGTAGAGAACATTTGCGAAAAGAATGGCTCTGGCAGGTGATGAATAGTGCTATGCAAGTGGTGGCAATAGCTCTGAACCCAGTTATTTTTAAAGAAAAGTAGTGCTATTGCTTGCCTTATCTTGTCAGAGCCGCATCTAGGCTCTGAAAGCTGATCTGGGTTATGTTCGTCTCTACTGATTTATAATATACCTGACCACTGGTGTGACCTGTGGTGACCTCATCTTCCTATATTGTCTTTTTCCCTCGAGTGGCACTCCAGACTGATTTTTCTTGTAGAACCACCAGAAATCCAGTTTACATTTTATCTTGTACACAAAACCACAGGCTGCATTCTATTTTAATAGTTCCTGACAGCTTTTCAGGTACAGGGTAGGTACTTTCTGCTCTAGTGACTCACGTATCCATCCTTGGAGATAATTCAGAACATGACTGTAAAAAAGCCCCGAGCAATCTGCTTCAAGCAGGGACTAGATGATCTCCAGAGGTCCCTGTCAACCTCAGCTATGCTGTGATTCTTTGACATTTTATGTATAAATATTTTTTGTTCTATATTGTGCAGTTAGTGGGGTAATGAGGATTTGCAAGGAATATAATATTTGGAATGTGACAGC